TGGCCTCCTCTACCCCCGGCACATGCCATCACTCCCTCACCTCCCCAAGACAACCAATGTCTTGTGTCCATTGGCTATGCTTATATGCATGCATACAAGTCCTGTTTGTCTTTTATTAGTGTAGATGAGAAATGTGGATAAAGTATATTGGCATAGAGAAGAAGTAATTATAAAAGAAATTTTCCTGAAAAGAATTAGTGCTAAAGAGAACCAAAAAATGTGGCATAGTTTATACACTCATACTTAGAATAATAGTCCCTGAAGTAAATCTACCATTTCTTAAAAGTTTCTGAAGCATTTATCTTCATTTGTTGAGTACTTCTAAGGTTGAATATACATCTATTATATTCCCTGTTCCCTCTTTCCTTAATATTTAACATTTTATGTCTGAGGGTTTCATTTAGAAATTATGTGGCATATTGTGTAACAGAGGTAAAAAATGGCTGCTTCCAGAGCCTGAGGTTTCTAAAAAATGAAAGGAGAACCGCGTCTCAGAGGAAATACGTATTTTCTTGGAGGAAAAGAGACTAGGACAGCCATGGGGCAAACTACGGCCCGTTTGAAATGAATAAAACTGAAAAAGAAAAAAGACCGTACCCTTTTATGTAATGATGTTTACTTTGAATTTATATTAGTTCACACAAACACTCCATCCATGCTTTTGTTCTGGCCCTCCAGTCCAGTTTAAGAACCCATTGTGTCCCTCGAGTCAAAAAGTTTGCCCACCCCTAGACTAGGACAAATATACCTGGTTCTCTTGTTTAGCTTTAGAAAACTGTTCTTGGAGATTGTCATTCTCATGAGCCAAGATATCTCTTTCACTGGCAATTTGAGCCAGTTCATCATTTGTTTCATCCAACTGCCGGCGCATCCTGGAAATGTCTTGTTCACACATAATTAGCGCTTCAGTAGACTGTCTATTGCACAAATCAAAGAGTACATCAGAAGAGACATTTTACCAAAACAGAATAACAAATTCTCACATGACAGAAGATGGACAGTTGGCATAAAAACATTTGAAGAAGTTTTAAACACATTTATATTTATATGAATAAGTACTGTGAAAATAGTGCATTTGAATTTCTCTGTGTTGCCAACATTTCACTATGGAAAAAAGATGCTGAATATACATAATAGTCAATGATTAGCTAAGTATTTCAAAACTTCTGACATTCAAATATGGCTTAGTCTCCTTTGCAGGTTCCTCCTCCTCTGCCCTCTTAAAACCTAAGGGTTCTGAGGGCTCAACTCTTAGTCTCCTATTTCTTCTTACTCTCTGCCTTCCCTCAGACAAATACTATTCATATCCATGGCTCCCAGACCCATCTATACCCTGAGACTCTGAAATCATTACCTCCAGCCTTGGCCTCCTCCTCACACTCCAGACTCTTATATTTAACTGCTTATGAGACATATATGCAAGGTCTCAAAGGCTCTTCCAATTCAGAGGAAAGCCATTGCTTTCTATACTTTCTACACGTCCAGTACTCATCCCTCAAAACCTGGCATTTTCCTAGATTTTCTTCCTCACAAGTACCTCACCCCTGACCACACTCTCCAACCCCAATCTATCATCATTCTTCAACGTGGGTAATCTTTCTAACACAAAATTCTCCTCAAAATTCCTTAAAGATTTCTTATTTCCCAAAGGATAAAACCAAGACTCATTTGTCTATAACACAGGCTTCTGTGTTTAGCCTTTCCTCCCTCACACCTCCTCTCTCACCTTGGGTTCCAACACTCACCTACTTGCATTCACGAGGCTCTTGAACGTTACCTGTGGTCTTGTGGTTCTCTGCTGTTTTTCCTTCCCTTTCCTTGGCAGATGCAAATGGTCTTTTCCTTGAAAAGTAATATAAGTATGACATAAAAAATTATCTTAAACTGTTATTTCTGTTAAAACTGAATGAACAAAAATCAATTTCCCCCACCCTTTTCATTTACATTTGGGTTTAAACATTTATGCTCTATTCATCTTTCCTACACTTTAAAACTAAAGCCTAGTATATCAATGTCAATATTTATACTAGACAAAAACAATCGATGATACTCATTAGAGTTAAGACTACACTTGAGTGTATGGATATGAGATCAATGTGTCAAATGCTCTGTTAGGCTTTTGCAGTCCCCCAGCAACACCAGAGCTCAGGAGCACTGTTACCTGGAGGCAAACCAGTGGTTTGCATTACAGTGTTCTCCACGGAATTAGACTGATTCACTTCCTCACGTCATGTTATGAAACCCAGGAAAGTGAATGATGTGAAACTAAATTTAGTTCTTAAGACTAATAACTTTGATCAAGTATATTATTTATATTAGTCATCAATATAAATAATGGTCATAAATCCATGTAGCTGCTAAAACGGAGTTACTTATAAAAGTCTATTTTTAAGTTTAAGTCTGAGTTAAATAAGCATAAGGCCCCAGAGCAAAAAGTGAATAAAATAAACTACTGATATTCTCCCTTTTCAAGGGTATGGTGAGGGAGATTAGTGAGTCAGTCAAGGCTGAAATAGGTGTGCTTATCTTCATGCTATCAATACTATTCCCACACTTCCTCCTTTGAAAATGCTTGTTGATGGTGAACTAAAGATACTATTCACTGATACTGTGGCTAACATTAGCCCTGTTCTTTCACTACATAACTAGATTTCACTTTACCCTTTGAAGTTGGAAATCCTAAGTAACCAAGGAAACAAGATGAAAACCTAAACCTATGTTTCCAACCAGTTCTGTCCCTGTTCATCAGGACGGATTAGTTGTGTGTGCATGAGCATGTGTATGTGTTATCTCCCTTTACTCACGTGCTCCTCTCGAGGGTAATTTTACTCTGGTTTCCCATTCTGCTCCTGGTAGAATGGTGCAGATGGATATTGGAATATGGTTAACATATCCATTAGCAAAGCAGTTAACCCCCTTTAAGAAGTCAAGCCAATGAAGGAAAAACTCAAAGAGAAAATACTGCTTAAAATAGAATGTTTATACATGCCTTTGAAATATAATTTAATATATTTCCAATTAAATTCTGAAAAACAAATTGAACTTCTAGTATTTCTGAAAGTCATTACTTGGTAAACTTAAATATAATTTATAAGCCTAAAAAGGACTTTCTTTTATCAATAGAAACTCATCTTGAAAGTATGACTATCTAATACTAAGAATTTTGTAAAGTATCCAGGGCAACAAAATTACTGGGTAGAATCCAGTAGTATATCCTACAGCTCTATTTTCTCTTCATATTGCCCTAATTCCAGCATTTCAAAAACTGTTGACATTTATGCCATCACTGTCAATTTAACATTTCTGTACAACCTCAATGTTTGTTCAATTAGAGTCATAGGTTCAAGTTAATTGTTAAAAATTCAATCTGGACAAGATGGTCATAAATCTACATAGGAAAAATAAACTAAAATATTACACAAATAATTATGGCTTTTATTACTAAAAAGTCTGTGAATTTCCTAATGAGTTTTCTAACTTTAACTGGTAGTAAGTAGTAGGACATCTTTTAAAATTACCAATAAGATGAAAAAACTTCATTATAATATAGACTTTCCATAGGAATTTATTCTGTAATCTCCATATTAGACTGTAAGAGTACTGCTTTTCACCATATGGTACTTATAAATTGAACTCTAAAATATTACTGTAGAAACTGTTTCCTCTTTCCATGCCTAATATTGCTTTAAAATGTGTTTTTTTTCTCCTCAGAGGATGGATGTGCTTATGTTCATGATCTTATACAAGATCATCAACTTATACAAGATCATGAAATGGATTGGCAAGTCAATATTCCTTGTGAAGGAAAAGATAATGTTGGTACAATTAGCAGAATGGAAGGAATGTGAAATATAGATATAGCTGAGAAAAATCAGATAGATCTGAATAATTTGTTTCTAAGTGTTAAAGAAAAACAAAACATGTTTAACTCTTTAAGTAGTAGTGTTTAAATATGAAAAAACATTCTACCCCCAAAAGCCATAACATTTTTTAAAATATTAAGGTATAGCTTACAGAGATGTGTCAGTCTTTTAAACAAGTAAACCAATATTTACTATCTTATGCACTTTGAGGGCTTCAGTTAGGTTCATGATTCCCAAAGCTTTTAACTTCAATTCCAGTTTTTCTCAAAACCTAAAAATCCGAGAGCCTATGAATATTTCAACGACATGTGCCAAAGACATGTGGATCATCTTCCTCTCTGAGCCTGCTCTGTTTCCAGTGCTTCCTACTTCATGCGTGGCAACTGTTCACATGGTTCCTCAGTCAGAAAGCACGTCTTGTCAATCTTACTCCCTTCGTAGACCTATTTCTCTCATGGATACTGCCACTCTCCTACCACAGTTCTTAACACTTTACTCCTAACTAGTGTCCTTGTCACCATTCTCACTTTCCTATAATTCCTTAACAAGGGCTGGAATATTTTTTAAAATAAAGACGTAACTGTAAAATTTTGTTTATATTATTTCATTGATTCACTATATCAATGATATTCTAAATTCAACATTACATACATTTTTAAATTTGTTGCTTACCTATCCCGTCTCATTTTTTGCCACCTATCCCTACCCCATACTTACCTCTTTGCAATCTATGCTCTGGACATTATAAACTATCAAAAAACCCTGTGACATTCTCTGATGAAAGCCACTGGGCTCTCGTAAGTTGCTCTACCTGTCTGGATTCCCCGTTCTCTAAAAGGTATTCTGCCTGGAGCATCATTAAACAGATTGTCAAACTACAGCAGGAAGGCTGGGAGGGTTGGGGGGAGTGGGTAAGAGATCAATCAAAGGACTTGTATGTATGCATATAAGCATAACCAATGAGAA